TAATGGTGAAGCCCTTATCAATGAGGAAATCCCGAAGACGCTCATACCAAGCTCTTGGAGCTTGCTTAAGCCCATATAGCGCATTGGACAACCTATAAACATGATTAGGATATCTAGGGTCTTCAAACCCGGGAGGTTGATCAACATAGACTAGTTGATTTATAAAGCCTTTTAAAAATGCACTTTTCACATCCATTTGATATAGTTTCATTTCATAATGTGATGCATATGCAAGGAGGATACGAATGGCTTCTAGTCTTGCAACCGGTGCAATGGTCTCTCCAAAATCCAACCCTTCAACTTGAGAGAACCCCTTTGCAACTAGTCTTGCCTTGTTCCTCACAACAACGCCTTGATCATCTTGCTTGTTGCGGAACACCAATGACTCTTGCACCTTGTGGTCGCTCTTCAAGAGTCCAAACTTCATTGCGGGTGAAGTTGTTCAACTCTTCATGCATGTCATTTATCCAATCTGGATCTTAAAGAGCTTCTTCTACCTTAGTAGGCTCAAAGCAAGAGACAAAAGAGTGATGTTCAATAAACAAAGCAAGTTTTTGAGATCGATTCATTACACCCTTTGATGAACTTCCTATGATGAGATCTTATGGATGAGCTTGTAGTAGAGGTGAGTTTCTTCTATCAACCACTTGAGGGGGAGGTTATGGAGCATCAACATCTTGAGCTTGTTCCACCATTTGATCATGGGAGACATGAGTATCTTCATTTTCTACTCTTCCATCTTTATCACCATCTTGTGGCACATTTGATGAAGAAAGTGGATTGATCACTTGTACATCATCTTCATCATCTTGAGGCTTGATGTCTCCAACCGGAATATTCTTCATGGCCTCCCTCAATGGTTCATCACCTACATCATCAAGGTTCTCATGTGCTACTTGGGAGCCGTTAGATTAAATTCCACACCATATGTTTCTTCAACCAAGCCGGTGGTATGATTAAATACTCGATATGCTTTGGACTTTAATGAGTAACCAACAAGAAAACCAATATCACAATGTCTTTGAAACTTCCCTAGGTGTTGCCGCTTCTTGTAGATGTAGCATTTGCAACCAAACACCCTAAAGAAGGAGACATCCGACTTCTTCCCATTGAGCAACTCATAAGGTGTCTTGCTAAAAAACTTTTGAAGGAATAGGCGGTTGGACGCATAGCATGCGGTGTTGATAGCTTCCGCCCATAGAGCTTCGGGGTGTGTTGTACTCATCAAGAATTGTTCTTGCAAGTGTGATTAGTGTCCGGTTCTTTCTCTCAACTACACCATTTTGTTGAGGAGTGTAGGTTGCAGAGACTTCATGCTTGATTCCAACTTCATCACAATAGGCTTCAATGTTTGTGTTGTCGAACTCTTTACCATTGTCACTTCTAATCTTCTTGAGCTTCACTTCAAACTCATTTTGTACTCTCTTGGCAAACTTCTTGAAATATGATGCCACTTTGGATTTGTCATGAAGAAAGAATACCCATGTGTATCTAGAGTAGTCATCAACAATCATGAGACAATAAAGATTTTCTCTCAAACTCTTGTATGTTGTTGGTCCAAATAAGTCCATGTGAAGGAGTTCTAGAACTCTTGTTGTTGACATGAAAGCTTTTATAGGATGAGTGTTTGCAACTTGTTTACCGGCTTGACATGCACTATAAAGCTTGTCCTTCTCAAACTTCACATCCTTCAACCCTCTCACCAATTCATTCTTCATTAGCTTCTTGAGTGAGCTTATCCCAACATGAGCAAGTCTTCTATGCCATAGCCATCCAAGTGTTGTTTTGATGAATAGGCATGTCTTCAAGTTAGCATCTTTGGAGGTGAAGTCCACTAGATATAGGTTGTTGTATCTAAATCCCTTGAATATCACTTGATCATCATCTTTCTTGGATACGACCACTTTCTTCTCGATAAATAGACATTGAAAGCCAAGATCACACAATTGTCCAACGGATAGCAAGTTGAAACTCAATGAAGCAACATATAGCATATTTGAGATTGAATGATCATTTGATATTGCCACTTTGCCCAATCCTTTGACTTTGCCCTTTGAGTTGTCACCAAATGTAATTCTTTCTTGTCCATCTACTTCTTCATCTAGTGAGGTGAACATACATGGATCACCGGTCATATGTTGTGTGCAAGCACTATCAATTACCCAATGACTTCCACCGGTCTTGTAGTTCACCTACACACAAGAGATCAAGCTTGTTTAGGAACCCAAACTTGTTGAGGGCCCTTCACTTTCTCAATAAGTGACTTTGCTACCCAAATTTTCTTAGGCCTATTCTTGTTGGGAGGTCCTAAGAACATAACTTTCTTCTTTCCACTAGAGTCCTTTCTAAACATGTAATGAGCATTGAAAGCAAAGGGTCTAGCATGCTTGGGCAATGGTTGTGGTGGTAGAGTTTGACACTCATGGGCAAAGTGACCTTCTTGTCCACACTCAAAACATCTCTTTGGCTTTGGCTTTGACTTGTGTTGTTATTGTTGAGCTTGAGCATTCTTCTCTTGGTTTGCCAAGTACCCAATGCCACTTCTATCCATCTTCATGATGGTGTTCATTAGTAACTCACTTTGAAGATGTTTGCCTCTTGTGAACTTGCTCAATCCAATCTTGAGATGTTCTTTTTCCAACTTGAGCTTCTTGTTCTCTTCTTTGAGTGCATCATTATTTTTCTCTTCCTTGAGTCTCTTGTTCTCCTCTTTGAGCTTCTCATTTTCAAGAATCAAATCACCATCATGATCAAGAGTTTCTAACAATATAGTGTTGGTGGTTTTGAGCTTTTCAAGATCTTTCTTGAGTTTTTCATTATCATGCTTGAGCTTGACATACTCATCATAGTTGTCGGTTTCAACCACTTGCTTGCCATTGCCACTAGATCCTTGATCAATGCTCTCAACAATTAAATCATCACATGATGTAGCTATATCAATCTTAACAACATAGTTAGTAGCATCATGTGGCTCATTGGATAAAAATTCTTGAGCGATAACAAGATTATCATGATTGATCTTGAGAGTTGTATATTCTTCTTTTAGCATATTGTGGCTAGTGATGAGCTCATTATGTATCCTCTCAAGTTTATCATGTTTTTCTTTAAGCTCTTTCTTAGAAGATTTGAGCTCCTTGAGTTTGGATGACATAGCATCATTTGCTTCTCTAAGCTCAACACTAGCCTTTTCCGCTATGTCACATTTAGCTAAAAGAGAGTCATTCTTAATTACTTCATATCAAGTCATTTTATCGAATCAGTAATGTTGCATTTACTGCATTCGTGAAGTTGTTAGCAGATGCATTCCCACATTGCTCTATTCCTGCACCTTACGAGGAAGCAAAGAAACTTATTCGTGCTTTGGGACATGGATATAATACAATCCATGTGTGCCCATATAACTGTTTATTGTTTCAGAAGAATTATGCAGCACACGATGTGTGTCCAGTATGTAGCACATCAAGATGGAAAGATAAAGATGGAAGGAAAAAAATCCTGAGAAAGAATTGCGTCATTTTCCATTGATTCCAAGGCTCAAAAGGATGTTTGCTTCCAAAGAAATATCTGAATTGGCACAATGGAATAAGTTGAAAAGAAATGCAGTGGAGAATGAGCTCAGTCACCCAGCTGACGGTGAGGCATGGAAAGCATTTGATACTAAATATGCTTGGTTTGCCCAAGATGCAAGAAACATTAGATTTGGCCTTGCTACATATGGTTTTAATCCATTTGGCAAAATGAACTCCTCGTACAGTATGTGGCCTGTATTTCTTATCCCTTACAACTTTCCGCCATGGGAATGTATGGAGCAATCGAACTTCATCATGGGCTTACTCATCCCTGGTCCATTATGCCCTGGAAAGGACTTCGATGTATTTTTGGAGCCACTCATTGAAGAGTTGCTAGATCTTTGGAAAAGTGTCCCTACTTTGGATGCATTGACTGACAAATCTTTTGATGTACATGCTGCAGTTATATGGTGCATTCATGATTATCCAGCTTTGAGCACTGTCAGGTCGAGTCACAAGAGGCTATTATGCTTGTGCCCGTTGTGACAAAGATCCTTGCTCTAGAAGAATAAGGAATAAGATATGCTATATTGGCCATCGGCACTTCCTTCCAAGGGACCATCCATGGAGGAAAAAGAAATGGTTTGATGGAAAGGACGAAGAACGTGACAAGCCAGAAGAATTATTAGTGATGAGTTGAAGCAGCAATTGGAGAGGGTCATGGATGTTAGACCTGGGATGCATCCTCAGAACAAAAAGAGGAAGAGGGGAGAAAATGGTCAATGTTGGAAGCTAAGGTCATCTTTGTGGGATTTGCCACATTGGTCGAGTTTGAAGCTGCGTCATAATCTTGATGTTATGCATATCGAGAAAAACATATGTGAGTACATTCTTGGTACATTTCTCGGCATTGCTGGCAAGACAAAGGACACCATTAATGGTAGGCTTGATTTGGAAGACATGGGCATAAGGAAAAACTTGCAGTTGAAGCGTGATGGAAATTCATATAGTGTTCCACATGCCCCCTATGTATTAAATAAAACACAAAAACTTGCTTTTTGTGAATTTTTGAGAAGTGTAAAATTCCAAGATGGATATGCTTCTAACTTAGCATCATGTATCAGTGTTGATGGATGCAACCTCCAAGGATTGAAAACTCATGATTGCCATATACTACTACAAAGGATTTTACCCGCTGCTGTTCGAGGAATCTTGCATAAGGACATATATGAAGCAATTAGTGAATTGGATAACTTCTTTCAGAAATTATGTGCTAATACTTTGAAGATAGATGTTTTGCATAGAATGAAAGATGAAATCCCAATCATTTTGTGCAAGCTGGAGAGAATATTTGCTCCTCCTTTCTTTGATGTGATGCTACACTTGGCTGTTCATTTACCTGATGAAGCAATCCTAAGAGGTCCGGTACAATATGGATGGATGTACCCAGTAGAAAGAAGGTTGTATACTTTGAAACGTTTTGTTAGAAACATGGCAAGACCAGAAGGATCCATTGCAGAAGCATATGTCGCTAAAGAGTGTTTGATGGCTTGCTCGAGGTATTTTGATGATGTTGGCACACGATACAATCGAGAGGGTAGAAATAGAGAGCGTGTTGATTTGAGAACAGGTGATCTATCGGTTTTCTGTCATGGAGTTCATCTACTTGGAACCCCGAAGATTACATATCTTGAACATGATTATGACAAAATGGTTTGGTTTGTGCTAAATAATTTTCCGGAGGTTGAGCCATATATCAAGTATGTCATTATGGATAGTTTATTTTTTTATGCAACCTACTAATTATGAGGTCTTACTTTTTGAATTAACTGTGGTTCATAATCTTAGTATGTACAAGGAGGAGTTGCAGAATGAAGGAATTCGAGATGTTGAAAAAACACTTGAGAAGCAATTTTCCTCCTGGTTTAAGAAACATGTAAGTTTGAAATCCATTCTTCAATTTCGAGCATTATCAGTTGTATTGGTTTTTGTTGTGTTGCATATATGCTTGTGCAGATTGCAAGACTATGTTACGTTGAGGAAGAAGACATCAACGATGAGCAACTTTCATTGTCATGTGAACCAGATCTGCTGGTTCGAATATTTTCAGCATGTCTTGTTGATGGTGTTCGGTACCACACTATCGACCGTGAGAAAAATAGAACAACACAGAATAGTGGAGTCATGGTCGAGGGTACACATAATGAAGAGTATATTGATTTTTATGGTTGCTTGAAGGAAATAATTGAGTTGAGGTACACTGCCCGTCGGACAGTGGTTCTATTTCGATGTGATTGGTTTGACACTTATGGCAAGAAAGTTAGAATGAAAGATGATGGATTTTTCAGAAGCATCAACCATGGCACTATCTGGTACAAGAATGATCCATTTATTCTAGCAACACAAACAACAAAGGTCTTTTACTTAAATGACACCAAGCATGGTGAGAGCTGGAGGGTTGTTCAAAAATTTACACATAGGCACTTGTGGAGTGTGGCTGAAAACGACAATGAGGAAATACCCAATGGCGTGGAGCTGTCATACCAAGATGATAACAATGCAGGTTTTCATGTTCAAGTAAATGAGGAAATTTTGGCTGATGAAGGAAATTTGGAGAATGAGCATCCAGATGATGAAGATTGTTTAAATGTCGATGCAAGTGTAGTAGGTGAGCTTCGTAGACAAAGGGAGCAGGATGTGCTAGAAAATGAGCTAAGCGATGATGAAGATGAAACTAGGTGGCAATATGTCAGTGATAATGAAGGTCCAACAACAATCCATGATGATGATGATGACTATAGTGAAGATGAGTGAGTCATCTCGGTCATCCTGGTATGGGAAGCCTGCTGTTTTTTTCTTTAATTTGGATTTGCATTAAACTTTATAAGAATTCTGAGATTTTGTTCAAAACATCTTAATGTATGCAGGTGATGGTTGATCTGCTTGGATGAGCTCTCTCTTTTATCATTAGGACTAGTTTTCAGTGGTTTCCTAAACAGTATCAGTATGTACTGCAATATTGTTATGACGATTTATGGCTCCTGGTTGTGGAGTCGTTAGATTTGTGCCTCCTGGGTTTGGAGTTGTGTTATCTGTATATGTGTCCTGCACTGTGCACAATTACCACACCTCAGTTCTTGAAGTTGTATTTGTGCTGACAGTAAAATTTTGGACAGGAGGAAAGGTCCTGCAATGTGCCAAAATTTGTTTCAGATTTTTTTTTCATTCCAGATACATAGATACATGATCTCCATTCCTGTGACATACAAAAGCTATACTCAAATCAGCAATATGGACTAATTGATTTTGGTTTCGAGACCTATAATAGTTTTTTACTTTATTTATTTATTTATTTGTACGTTCTTATTATTCCGTAATATATTGATTAATTTTTTGAAGATCCTAAAATTACTCTGGTTCATTTTAAACGAGATAGGTTGGGTTCTACCCAAAGTCATTAAAAACGAACCATGTACAGGTCGGTGAGAGCAGTGCACTAGCCACCACACCAAAGATTTCTAGGAGAACCATGAAAAACTTTTTAGGGTATTGCTCCCCGCTGAAGTTGCTCTATATTGGTGTGTCCGCCTCCATCGCCATAGGTGAAATGGTCGTACTAAAGTCATTGGTTTCATATTAGCAACACAAGCATACTTAATGAGCCACATCCAACGAATCACGATTATACGGGTAGACAATGAGATTGATCATATTCAACTTTTCCCCCTTAGCATAACAACAACAGTTCCGAGCTCGCCGCCTCCCTGCGCCGCAGCCGAGCTCGCTGGTTCCGCAGCAGACCACGGGAACAGGTTGCGAGCACGAAGCTGCATAGGGATAGGGGCCGCAGGTTGCGGGCGCCTTTGCCGGGGGCAGCCAGCCACAGGCGTGGAAGTCGTCGCAGGGGCCGCTCGACCGCGAGGCGCGGAGCCGTAGCCGCGGGCGTGGAGACCGCCAATGGGGCGCGGAGGTCGCGCAGGGCCGTGGCGCAAGAGGCTGCGCGGGCTGGCTCCTCGTGGTGGGACGGACGCCAAGCAGTGGGGCGGAATCGGGTGGGCGGGGTCAGCTATCCGTGGTCAAGGCCGGTGGAGGGGCGGTCGGTGATGTGGCCTCGGGCGAGTGGCTGGCATCGGGGATGGAGATGACGCCGCTGCCGAATGCTGCTGGAGCTAGAGGAAGGAGGGGAGGGAATGAGTGGGTGACGCGCAGGCCCCACATGTCACTGAGATGCAGGCCAGCGTCCTACGTGGCGGTCAATGCCAGCGTGGCATGGTCGAACCCTTTCCACGCTGGACAAAGCAGCCTCTTCCACGACGAGGTGCTAAAACTGAACGGTTTTGACAGTTAGGGTACCAACACTAGGCGGTTTTGTAGTTGAGGGTTAAAATCAGACGAACACAATAGTTGAGGGGCCAAAATGGGACTTAATCCTTTCAAATATTATATATATGGAAACTACAGTTTTGAGCAAAAGTTTTTTCTATGCAAACAACAATTTCAATTGTAAAATAAATTGCTAATATTGTTCTGCACAATAAACTACCTGAAAAAATGATTTTCTACTAACGAAATAATATTGTAGTGCAAAACAACACCTTGGATGTCTCTTTTTTTTGGAAGACTAGGTAGCGTGCTCGTGCGTTGCTACAGGATAGCTAACATTTTGTACTAAAAACACACGGATCGCACGATAAGATAACAACAGTGTCCTTCCTTTCTTAGACCAACTGCAAAAAAAAAACACTTCCTGAACAGACCACTGCAAATATAACTGGTATACTTCCTGAATAGGCCACTCAGCAGTCAATATACATTTGAAACTGGGAACAAATCTAGCTGTCAAAAGGATTCAATAATAGTGAAGAAAATGTGAGGCAATAAATTTATTCAGCATACTTGAAGAAAGATTGTTACACTTCATACTTGCTTTAGGCAGAAACCATAGCAGACCTGCAATAGCAGCTGGTCACAAACTGCCTTAAATTTCAGAAAAGATTGTCCTATAGCAGGATATCACAATCCCCTTAGTGCATCTAAAATTCTACTGGGAAAATGCATATCCAGTCTAGTTTTTGTAAAACGACAATTTGTATACCTCCAAAAATTCAATTATTCTAAGGTAACCTGCAAACTCCAAACTCATGAAAACTGGAACATGGTTAATTACCCAATAGCAATTATATATGGTTTGACATTCGAGGACACATAAACACCAATACACCATGCCTCAATGCATTTCACAGAGCCTATAATGCACAGATGGCAATCAAATCAATCTTGGTCGATTTCTTCCAAATATTTTAATTTTTTCCACAGATCAACAACAACAAAGCTCTAAGATGATACATATGTACTTAAATAGTGTAATCTGAATTCCATAGAGAAAGGGTAGCATAAATAGAGTTACTTATATTGTTTATGCATAGCCAAGCGTTCTAAGAAAGTGAACAAGAGCAATTTCAGAACAAACCTATATACCACTGATCATTGCTCTTTCCTGATGAATGAAATGAGAAAAGAATCAGTGCCTTTACTAAGCTGACCTATGTCTGGACTATGGGGGATTAACAAGTACAAAGTACAAACATAGATTATAATAATGGGCAAAAGTGATACTTGCCACTTCTTTTGCCCTTCTTTGACTGTTGCTCCCTTCTCCCTTTTTAAGTTGCTTGTTGCTTGCTTCAGTTTGGTCAGGGACAATGCATTGCTAAGATAAGATGTCAATCTATGAAATTCCAGAGAAGACAAGAATGACTCTTTGTTTTTTGAGAACAGGGAAGCATGGAACTTAGTAATTTGTACAAAGAAAAGCATGATGGATACATGCATGATATGATAAAGTAACTGCATCTCTGACAGACTGCTTCACCTAGCACATGACGAACCTGAGGTAGCCGAGCTGGGCTTCCAAGGAGACGAGGTGGTGGTGGTGGATGAATCGTTAGGCACCTCAAGCACGGACACCGGGCTCGAGTTGTGCTGCGCGTCGCACTCCGCGGCCGGCATCCTGACGTGGCCCGCCGACTCTGCTTCACTGTCGGCGATATTATGTCTGGAGTTAGAACATGTGAACTTAAAGTGGTGGAGTAACAGTGAACATCTTTGAATTCACTGTCTCCAATTTTTGATGTAACAATGATACTAGGATCAATAGAGCTGCATGAAGCAAAATGTCATTGGAACTTAACAGGGCACTTAAGCAATTTATTACAACCAGGCTGTAGTTCTGATTAGGGACAGGAATAGCAAGGTACAACCTAAGTGTCATAGGAAAGGCAAGCAAAGAAAAATTAAAAAGCTATCATGGCTGTAAATTGTAGTAAGTAATAGGGACATGCTGGATTCCTTAACCACCTGTGTGGGATAGCACTTTAATCAATTTAATCAATCTTACCAAATTGACTAAAGTGCTATCCCAGACAGACTAATGGACAAACCACCGGCCATACAAAAGCATGATCCAGGTACATAAATATGAAGCCACATAAATATCAACCATGTCGTCATACCCTGTGCTGGTCACAGGTCGGCATGCCCTACGCTGGTCACTGGCCTTGCTTTATTTCCGCTGACCCAGTTGAGGTAAGCTAATCTTTGATTTCATTTTTTGGGCTGCTGCACAAGAGGAAGAAACCACTTAGTAATATCATATTTGTTACAACGATATCAAAGGCTTACAGAAAAGGTATTGTATCATACAGGATATGAATAAGGTTTGCGTAACCCAATCGATTAATTCATATGTGACAAGATGTTTCAAACTCAGGCAAACGGGCAACACAAAGCATGTTTGAAGACTACAAAATTTCCATGGCAATGGCCCCACGCAGCACAAGGGTCATTACAAACTCCAGATGCTCTAGCAAGAACAGTGTGCCTGTTCGGCAAGCTGTGCTGCTGCTGCAGCAGCCAACCAGCAAAAGCAGCAAAGGCAGTAGCAAGCAAGCAAGCAACGGCAGGAAGCTACGAGCAGCAAGAAGCCAGCAGCAGCAAGAAGCCAGCAGCAGCAGTGGCTTAATGTGGAGCGAACAGGGAAATAAAACTGAGATGAACAACAAATTGATTTCATTTCAGGGATAGCATGATACATTCATTTTTTGAAGCTACAAAACACTCCTTTAACATTACTTCTACATTCAGACATCTTCCCTGACAGATACATTTATGTAGAGCACCACACATTATAGAACTGTGATTAAGCAGACCACCTGGACAAATGGATGACTGCATACTGCGCACAGCAGGGCAAGAATCCAGAGACAACATTATGTGAAATGGAGAAACCACTCTATGTCCAGGTAATGCGACCTAAAAAGTATGTAGGCAAGCCTTTTTTTATAAGGCAGGAAACCAATTGGTCCTATACATTTGAGTTGAGTAACCATCAAAAAGTTCGTGGTAAAACAGTGATGCTAGAAAAAAGTTGATACATGAGGTCTCAACATAATCAAACATAGATAGCCATGCCTGGAATATTTTGCCTTTTCAATCCTTTAGCTCGAGCTCACAGTTCCTCTTTCTTGGCACTGCTGTTTTGAAGCACCTGATATTTATAAAAGCAATTCAAACCACTGTCACAACTAACAATGGCGAAATATCAGATGTATGATATCTTTTAAAAAAACTTGGAAATATATAGACACGATATGAAAACAGACCATGTGATCAACATTAAGCTTCCATAACGAATCCAGCATAACGCTGTTATGTGTCAGCATGTAAGCCTCCAGCACTGAGATGCTTTCTCAAGCCTTCCTGCAGTTGCATAAGAGCTATTGCAACTTTAGATACATAAAAAAACCAATTCTCAT